TTGTCCCCATTACAAGGTGCACCTGTGTAATGATCATGCTATTTAATCAGCTTCTTGATATGCCACACCTGTCAGGTGGATGGATTCCCTTGGCAAAGGAGAATTGTTCACGATCAGGGATGTAAACAAATTTTTGCCCCAAATTTGAGAGAAATACATTTTTTGTGCGTATGGAAAATTTCTGGGATCTTTTATTTCAGCTCTTGAAACATGGGACCAACACTTTACATGTTGTGTTTATATTTTTGTTCAGTATAAAAAATGTTGTTAAGTGCTGCAAAGAAAGACCTAGTTAAGCTGCAGCTGGCCCAGAACAGAGTAGCACATCTTGCTCTCCATTGTAATCAGAGGGATAATATAAATACTATGCATGCCAGTCTCTCTTGACTAAGAGTTGAGGAGAGACTGATTGCATCACTTCTTTTTATAATAAACATTATTGTGTAGAAAATTCCAAATTGTTTGCATAGTCAACTTACACACAGCACTGACACACTCACTTACCCCACCAGACATGCCACCAGGGGTCTTTTCACAGTCCCCAAATCCAGAACAAATTCAAGAAAGAGTACAGTATTATATAGTCATTATTGCATGGAACTCCCTTCCATCTCATATTGCTCAAATGAACAGCAAACCTGGTTTCAAAAAAAAGAACGCAACACCTCACAGCACCTCTCCCCTATTTGACCTAGATATTTTGTGTGCATGTTTTTAAATTCATGTAGTTCTGTCCTTGAGCTGTTCTTGTCTATTAATGTTCTGTATTATGTCATGTTTTGTGTGGACCCCAGGAAGAGTAGCTGCTGTTTTCGCAACAGCTAATGAGGATCCTAATAAAATACAAAACTAAAAACGTGGGGGCAATAGCATGCACAACAGTATCATCAGCATACAAGTGCAGCTTACATTTTTTTTTACAGACAAGTCAATATTGTTAATGTAAACAGTAAAAAGTACAGGACACAGAATCGACCCCTGTGGGACACCTTTCCTTATGTCCAGAAAACCTGATCTAACACCATCAGTAGTTACACATTGAGTTCTATCTGTCAAGTAATCTTTTTACCAGTTACATGCAGCCTGGTCTAGAGCAATTGAGGAAAGTTTCTGAATTAGCAGTGATTGATCAACAGTATCGAACACCTTTGACAGGTCAAAGAAGAGGGCAGCACAATGTTGCCTTTTATCCATACAGTTAACCACATCATTTATAACTAGGGACGCAACAGAGATAGTGCTATGATCTGGTCTAAAACCCAACTGATGGATATTTAGAATACATTTCAAAGATAAGAAAGATCTTAGCTGAGAATTAATCAAGGAGGTCACAAGGGTCACAAGGGTCACAACCTTTGTGAAGGGGGAGTATATGGACCGCCTTCCAAACCGAAGGTTTTTTATTTAGTTTTTTTAGCCCATAGATATTGTTTGTAACTTTTTAGTCACTCAAATATCACATGAATACACGTTAGACATGACAAAATAGATAGAATTGAAAGAACATTTTCTTTAAAACTGCAACATTTTGTTTCACCCAATGACATAATGTGTAGAATTGCAGGAAATAAGCTTTAAACCTGCAAAATTCTCTCCACCAACGAGGGGTGTGAACAGTTTGTTTCATGAACAGTGCTTGTGCCCATAGAAATAGATGTGGTGTGTGTGCACAAGCGGGATGTTCCCCAATGCTGGAAGAGGAGCTCCTGTTGATGATTCTTTGCACAGTTCAACAGGAGCTCCTCTTCCAGCATTGGGGAACATCCCGCACACAGACAACGACTTCCAAATATATGTAAAAACCTTTAGTAATGCAATTGCAGACCTAAGTTAATACAGAGACAACAGCAAAAAGTGTCTAAAACGATCTCTGCTTTTTATACTAGCACTCCCTTCCCATAGCGTGATGTTTACCCCTGACCCTAAACTTGCCCTAGCAACAACACAGTATTCTTCCTAATCATGTCTTCCCACGAACTCAGTATCAGGTGTCAGACAATAAAACGAGACATGTCTAAAGACAATGTGGCAATTGTGGTTGCAGGTTTCTGAGAACTTTCTGCTGTCAAGTCCTCCATAGTTTTTAATAATGTAAGCAAGTGCACGTAATAGATAATATATTCCCCATCACTCCCGAGAGTCAGACAGAACTTGCTTAGGCAGGGAAGAAGATGAATTTGTATCCTTTAGTGCATTTACTGTTTTCCTAAATATAAAAGGATCACCAGCAGTCAGAGCTTAAAAAGTAGCTTGATTTAGCTTACTTAATCGAGATAGCACATCTGCAATGTGTCGGTACGGTAGGGGGTATATCTTCCATCCCCAGTGCATGCATGTTTACTAACCTACCTCTCCCAGTTTGTTTAGTAAATTACATGGGTGCTATAGCATCTACATCTACAGCAGGGGTAGCCAATCCTCATCCTCCTGGAGACCTACTGGGTGTAGATGCTTTTGCTCCATCCCTACTGAAAACACATCGGAGGTAACATAACATTATCTCTCCAGGAGAAGTGTTGGCCATCCCCAATCTACAGTATGCATGATGCCAGCTTATCTGAGTGGACGTTCTATATTCCTGTAAGCTGGGCATTAGGAGGAGCCATGCTGTTACTTCCCCCCTCCCCCTAGGAGGTGTTTAGGAAAAACACATGAATGGATTGATCCAACATGTTTATAGCCAAACTAATGAAAAGAGGAGAAACATAGCTGTGACTGACTGGTAGGCCAGGCGGTGTGTCATTAAGCTCTGCTGTGCTGTGTGATTGAGTAGACCCACAGCAGCACTGAGGCTGTGCTTTGAATTAATGGAGTGATAAATGCCTCAAATGACTGACTTATGTCCACCTGCGGTCGCTATGGCAATAGAGGCAATGCAGAAATGGAACCGTGGAATTGGTTGCCATGGAGGCACGCTGTGATGCTTTGTGAGGCTCTTAAGTTTGCAAACGTCCTTGTACTGGAATGGAGAATGGTAGGAGGCTTTTTTTCACATTTGGAAAGAGAGCATTTTGTTTAATAGGCTGTAGGACACAATGGCTGTGTAGGACAATGCAAAGCATGACTCATTGTAACACCCTAAGATAATAAAATATGGATGTCTTTTAGTTCACCCTCACTAAACACTTTTTCAATATCAATAACATTTTCTGGTGGTACTGAGTACTGACATATTTGTACGAGAATGTAAAAAAGAGAAAGAGAATGTATGAAAGACCTATTAAAATAATACACTGCTCAAAAAAATAAAGGGAACACTTGTACACAATGTAACTCCAAGTCAATCACACTTCTGTGAAATCAAACTGTCCACTTAGGAAGCAACACTGATTGACAATAAATTCCACATGCTGTTGTGCAAATGGAATAGACAACAGGTGGAAATTATAGGCAATTAGCAAGACACCCCCAATAAAGGACTGGTTTTGCAGGTGGTGACCACAGACCACTTCTCAGTTCCTATGCTTCCTGGCTGATGTTTTGGTCACTTTTGAATGCTGGCGGTGCTTTCACACTAGTGGTAGCATGAGACGGAGTCTACAACCCACACAAGTGGCTCAGGTAGTGCAGCTCATCCAGGTTGGCACATCAATGCGAGCTGTGGCAAGAAGGTTTGCTGTGTCTGTCAGCGTAGTGTCCAGAGCATGGAGGCGCTACCAGGAGACAGGCTAGTACATCAGGAGACGTGGAGGAGGCCGTAGGAGGGCAACAACCCAGCAGCAGGACTGCTACCTCCGCCTTTGTGCAAGGAGGAGCAGGAGGAGCACTGCCAGAGCAAAATGACCTCCAGCAGGCCACAAATGTGCATGTGTCTGCTCAAATGGTCAGAAACAGACTCCATGAGGGTGGTATGAGGGCCCGACGTCCATAGGTGGGGGTTGTGCTTACAGCCTAACACCGTGCAGGACGTTTGGCATTTGCCAGAGAACACCAAGATTGGCAAATTCGCCACTGGCGCCCTGTGCTCTTCACAGATGAAAGCTGGTTCACACTGAGCACGTGACAGACGTGACAGAGTCTGGAGACGCCGTGGAGAACGTTCTGCTGCCTGCAACATCCTCCAGCATGACCGGTTTGGCAGTGGGTCAGTCATGGTGTGGGGTGGCATTTCTTTTGGGGGGCCGCACAGCCCTCCATGTGCTCGCCAGAGGTAGCCTGACTGCCATTAGGTACCGAGATGAGATCCTCAGACCCCTTGTGAGACCATATGCTGGTGCGGTTGGCCCTGGGTTCCTCCTAATGCAAGACAATGCTAGACCTCATGTGGCTGGAGTGTGTCAGCAGTTCCTGCAAGAGGAAGGCATTGATGCTATGGACTGGTCCGCCCGTTCCCAGACCTGAATCCAATTGAGCACATCTGGGACATGTCTCGCTCCATCCACCAACGCCACGTTGCACCACAGACTGTCCAGGAGTTGGCGGATGCTTTAGTCCAGGTCTGGGAGGAGATCCCTCAGGAGACCATCCGCCACCTCATCAGGAGCATGCCCAGGCCTTGTAGGGAGGTCATACAGGCACGTGGAGGCCACACACACTACTGAGCCTCATTTTGACTTGTTTTAAGGACATTACATCAAAGTTGGATCAGCCTGTAGTGTGGTTTTCCACTTTAATTTTGAGGGTGACTCCAAATCCAGACCTCCATGGGTTGATAAATTTGATTTCCATTGATAATTTTTGTGTGATTTTGTTTTTAGCACATTCAACTATGTAAAGAAAAAAGTATTTTATAAGATTATTTCATTCATTCAGATCTAGAATGTGTTATTCTAGTGTTCCCTTTATTTTTTTGAGCAGTGTATATACCAGAAAAGTCTGCTGTGACATTTCATTTTCCCCCTGGCGATCAATCAATATTAGTTGAATCAGAAATGTTAGTGGACGGACGGAACAAAAGCCAGCACACCTTTGGCCCTCCAGATCTGGAGCGTCCCACCGCTGTGCTAACAGAAACAAATCAGTCAGACAATCAATCAAAACAATATTTCCTGTCCCCAGGTGCGTCTCCCCTGAAGGCAAGGTCGGCGGTACCGGTAACGGACCAGTGTTCCCCCTTCTACAATAGCCGTGGTGATGGCTATTTGTGTTTTGGCGATCCAGGGTGAGCGCTGCCAGATAGAGGTGAACGAGTGTGTCACATCCCTGCAGGAACGGAGCTACCTGTATAGACAGGGTGGGCAGGTACGACTGCCTCTGCAGCCCAGGGTTCACAGGTAAGATGAGAAAAGAGACCGCTCCAAATGGGAGAGTGAACGAGTGAAACAGGGATGTACTACCTGAATTTAGGTCACAAAGGGTTTTGCTCTGTTGTTAAAAGAGTAAAGGAAATAGAGCCTCTAATATCAGTGCATGATGATCAGTAAGCCAGTCAACATAGCCGTGGTGATGGGGCGGCAGGTAGCGTAGTGGTTAAGAGCGTTGTGCCAGTAACCGAAAGGTCGCTGGTTCTAATCCCCGAGCCGACTAGGTGAAAAATCTGTCGATGTGCCCTTGAGCAAGGCACTTAACCCTAATTGCTCCTGTAAGTCGCTCTGGATAAGAGCGTCTGCTAAATGACCAATTATTTTTATAATTATTTTTTAACATAAAAGCATTTCACATTGAGTATTATCTCCACAAGTGCATGTTGATATTCCTGTTCATGTTTCTCTAAACTGACCTGTACAGATGGTTTGGCCAGTGTGTGTTATATGACCCGACCACTCTGACTGACTCTGTCGGCCATATTGGATGTTTGATGTTCTAGGTGCCACCTGTGAGGTCCAGATTGACGAGTGTCAATCACAGCCCTGCCTCAATGCCGGGAGTTATCATGACTACGTCAACGGCTTCTCGTGCACCTGCATGTCCAGTTTCCAGCGCGACCACTGTGAAATCGGAATTGACGAGTGCCAAGACCAGCCATGCCAAAATGGGGCCCTATCTATTGATGGGGTTAATGAGTATGTAGTTTGTGTGTGAGAGAGATTGGTCGTTTTTTTGTGTGGAGTAAAACAAGAATCGCTTGCTTGCAGAGCTTCACTTTTTATTAGAAAAGTCAATGGCACTGAAACTGAAAGATCTGTACCTAAAAATCCTTGTCGTTCAGGTACAGCTGCGACTGCTCTCAGTCCACCTTCACTGGGCGACACTGTGAAACTCCTCTCCCTCCATGCATGCCCCAGCCCTGCATCAACAGCGCCACCTGTCTCGAGGACGAGGGGAACTATACATGTGACTGCTGGCCAGGTACAGTACAGTCACACATATAGTTACAGAACAGAAAGCACTGTAGGCATGTCATTTGTTCTTGAAATGGCACCTGCAGCCGCTCTCTAGACTTTCTCCAAGGGGGTATGAGAGTAAGGTGGAGTGAGGGGGAGACAGGGATCTCAACTAGCACAAAACATTCTAAGAACTTGGTGAGAGCGTGGTTGTCCTATGGTTATTTTGCATTGAGGCTTCCGACAACTTTCTGGAAATGGTGCAGGATAGTTGCTTGGTTTTGGAACATTCTCAGCACATTAAGGAACTTGACAAAAATACTTAATTTTCTTGGTATTTCATTACTTTAACAGAGCGTTACCTAAAGATTCACGAATGGTAAAAAAAATAATGTTTAAGTATTATTCTAGGAACATTCTCCAAATGATTTGACATTGGGAATGTTCTCAAAAAGGTCAGAGAACTTTAAGAAACTACGTTCTTCTGTGGGAATTTCAGTACTTCCACAGAACATTCCACACAAGTTCCCATATGGTTCTATTTAATGTCATATTTTTACTACATTCTGGGAACGTTCTCAAAAATGGTGTGACTTAAGTGATGTTCTCAGAACATTCAGAGAATGTATGGTTCTCTCATATTCATTTTGTTCTCAAAATATGGAGAACGTGTTCCATAAAAAACAAAAAAAACTATTCACTTTAGAAAATGTTTTAAGAATGTTAAAACATACATTCCGTTCGCAGAACATTAAGAAAACGTTCTATAAATACCACAAGAAAACTTTATGCTGCATTCGTGACCAAGTGGGAAGTGGGAATTTACCACCATAGAGTTAGATAGAGGACTCTAGATGAATAAAACCTATTTTGGCATTGGCATGGAGATCTTCCACCATTTAAAAGTAGTCAACTTGGTGGGCCTTCCTATGTGTGAAGGAAGGATCACATGATTTCATCCGGGTCATCAGGAGGGATCAGCCAATGGATTATACTCGTGAGCAAACATTCCATAACTGTAGGTAGCAGTAAATTGCCAACCTTGGCTTTATACCTGTTCAAACAACACACTCTAGCTGGCAGTATGCACCCTTTCAGTTTGTTTCCCAACTCATAGAAGTAGTAGGGGAAAAAAATGACTACTTAAATGGAGATGGCCTCAATAGTGCTGCCCGTGCGCTCACAAATGATATAATGGAAAGGGAAAGGAAAGGGGGATACTAGTCAGTTGTACAACTGAATGCATTCAACTGAAATGTTTCTTCCGCATTTAACCCAACCCCTCTGAATCAATGGGACATACATAAAGAGGATATCTCTATCATTCTCAGTCAAATTTGCTTCTCTGGCACCCCAATGGTGGAACAAGCTCCCCCACGACGCCAGGACAGCGGAGTCACTGACCACCTTCCGGAGACATTTGAAACCCTACCTCTGTAAGGAATACCTGGAATAGTCTAACAGTAATCCTTCTACACCCCCCCTCCCCCAGTGGTGGTTGCCCCACTGGCTATCCTAAGTTGAATGTACCAATTTGTAAGTCGCTCTGGATAAGAGCGTCTGCTAAATGACTTAAATGTAAATGTACAATTCTCTATGTTTTCCACATAAGACTGGGAAAAATATATTTGAACAGCCCTCCAACTGGTAATTACTAGTGGAAACTCATAAATTCCCACTTTGTTACGAACGCAGCACTAGTAACATTCAGAAAAATTTCTAAGAATGTTATTTAAAGGACCAGTGCAGTCAAAAACATGATTTTCACTGTGTTTTATATATATACACATTGAACAAAAATATAAATGCAACATGTAAAGTGTTGGTCAAATGTTTCATGAGCTGAAATAAAAGATCCCAGAAATGTTCCATACGCGCAAAAAGCGTATTTATCTAAAATGTTGTGCACAAATTTGTTTACAACCCTGTTAGTGAGCAATTCTCCTTTGCCAAGATAATACATACACCTGACAGCTGTGGCATATCAAGAAGCTGATTAAATAGCATGATCATTACACATTTGCACCTTGTGCTGGGGACAATAAAAGGCCACTCTAAAATGTGCAGTTTTGTCACACAACACAATGGCACAGATGTCTCAAGTTTTTAAGGGGGAGTGCAATTGGCATGCTGACTGCAGGAATGTTCACCAGAGCTGTTGCCAGAGAATGTATTGTTTATTTCTCAACAATAAGCCGTCTCCAACGTCCAACTGGCCTCACAACCACAGACCAAGTGTATGGCGTCGTGTGGGCGAGCGGTTTGCTGATGTCAAGGTTGTGAACAGAGCTCCGTGGTGGTGGTGGGGTTATGGTATGGGCAAGCATAAGGTATGGACAACGAACACAATTGCATTTTATCGATGGCAATTTGCACAGAGATACCGTGATGAGATCCTGAGGCCCATTGTCATGCCATTCATCCACCGCCATCCCCTCATGTTTCAGCATGATAATGCTAAGCTCCATGTCGCAAGGATCTGTACACAATTCCTGGAAGCTGAAAATGTACAATTTATTTCATGGCTGCATGCTCACCAGACATGTCACCCATTGAGCCTGTTTGGGATGCTCTGGATTGATGTGTACGACAGCGTGTTCCAGTTCCCGCCAATATCCAGCAACTTCGCACAGCCATTGAAGAGGAGTGTGACAACATTCCACACGCCACAATCAGCAGCCTTTATGCGAAGGAGATGTGTTGCGCTGCATGACGCAAATGGTAGTCAAACCAGATACTGACTGTTTTTCTGATCCACTCCCTACCTTTTTTAAAAAGTTATCTGTGACCAACAGATGTATATCTGTACTCCCAGTCATGTGATATCGATGGATTTGGGCCCAATTAATTAATTTGAATTCACTGATTTCCTTACATGAACTGTAACTCAGTGAAATCTTTGAAATTGTTGCATGTAGCATTTATATGTAGCATTTTGTTCAGCATATTTCCACACTATGAGGTTGGAATAATATTGTGAAAATGATAATGCCCTTTTTAGTGTAGGAGCTGTTTGAAAAGACCGCCTGAAATTACAACCTGGTTTGCCGGTCAGGAAACTTTTCTCCTTGAACCAATCTGAAACCAAAAACACACGTTCCCACAACTTCCAGAGAGAGAGAGAGAGCTCACACAATGTGGGAAATGTATTTGTAATCCTGATAAATATAGAGGGGTGTGTGCATGCACGCGTCCCTCCCTGCGTGTGTCGTTGTTTAACCCCTCTATATGCCTTACACTGTCCTGTCCAGGGTTCAAGGGTCGTCAGTGTGAGGTGGATGTGAGTGAGTGCAGTAGCAGCCCCTGTTTCTATGGTGGCTGGTGTATAGAGCTGTCCTGGCATAGCCTGTATGGTTCAAAGCGTCTGCTTCCAAACCACTACAACCCACAGCACGCACGCTTCATATGTCCATGTTTCAAATTGCTGGGGTACTTGATGATTCTATGCACTCCCATAACAAATTAGGGCATGCTCATTTAAAATATGAAAACCATAAGTATGGATATGGATATTGGTCCAGCCTATTATTTAGGGCACGCCCAAGAGTCAATGATCAGCTCTCAGTTTCATAACTATATGACAGGTACCAAGCATGTATATGGTTGTAGCTTGGTATTTACCGTTTTTACCCATTCACACTCTTCTATTACAAAATAGGAATATTCTAGTCGCCCTGCTGCTTACGCAAGCCTGTGATCTGCCTGTAAGGCCCAGCAGGTAAGACTAGTGGCTGCGTCTCCTAACACTGTTATATAATTGACTCCCCAGCAGTCATCAGTGTTCACTCTGTAAGATGGCACTAATTGTATTAGTGTTAATCCTGAGGATCTGACTTTCCCTGACTCCTGCCTGCAGAAGGACTCAGCACTGTGTTCTGTTGTGCATGGCTAAAGACAAAAGGACAGGGACTGCCGGCTACTATGATGACCTATGGTCACAATGAGATTGTACACACAGTGGTAGTTGACATCTAGGCGAGTGTGCAGTTATTGGTGGGAAACTCATAAACCGACGCAATGCTGAAAGTGGAAGTATGGATTTGGAGCATTCTATTGCTAAGTGCAGGTATGGTTATATGTTGTTATTCATGCTTCATGTATGTGACTGTTTGTTTCAATGACAATGCATGCTTGTAATGGTATTGTTATACAATCTCATTAATGTAAATGGAATTAAGTGATTGTTGGTCGTCGTGTTTTAGGCTTCCCATCTTTTCTGTTTGTTGTTGTAGACTGGATTGAGAAAATGTCTTAATCTAGTAACTTTTGTTGCTATTGTTTTGTATGGTGTTTATTCTATACAAAAGTATTTACTTCAGCATCACACTGTAGCATGCATACAGCTCCATTCTGTGTATTGTAAGTAATGCCTAACTTGGCTCACTAGTACTATATAGTATCGCACAGTACACATAACACCAGCGCCATCTATTGGCTTGGCGACATCTCGTAACAGCTATGTGGTTGCTACTGTATATAAGATTGAATGGGTCTACTGGCCTAAATAGAAGTCATGGTACTGTATTTTACCACTGACATATTCTTATTTTAAGAATAGATGCTTATGGTTTCTTTATCTGAAATCCAATTGAAATTAAATCTAGACGTGGACATTTTACTTTACTTTTACTTTTTACTTTTTACTTAATCCTGATGTGACATACTCTAATTTATATATAAACATAAAGCTCCCGGCTACTATCCAATCAAAGCCACATTGACATTATCCCATCCCTGGTTAGCCACTATTGGCTTAAAAAGCCAAATGTAACACAATACCTGCCAAATAATTACCAGCATCATTGCCCCTCTGTCTGTTTGGTGCACGTGTTTGTCGATCATCAATCCGTATGTAGTCAGTTAGCGATGCTAATGATAACCGGCATCTTGTGGGTAGACAAAGGCTTTCCACAAAAACCTTCTCAATTAAATGTAAACTGCAAAGTACCCACTGGGAAAAAACTGGTTGAATCAACGTTGTTTTCACATCATAAAATGTTTTTTTATGTGATGACGTTAAATCAACGTGGAAAACTGATTGGATTTGAAAAAAGTCATCAACGTAAGGGAATTGCACATTTTTTTACTCAACTTTTAACCTAACCCAATGACATGGTGAAATTGTTTGTTGATTTCACGTTGATTTCACATTAGTTGACAACTCTACCAAATGTAAATCAAAACTAGACATTGAACTGACGTCTGTGCCCATTGAGTAGGCTTACCTGACAGGACTATATGATTATTTGTATCAATTGGGTGGTCATTGTTTTGCAAACTCTGCCATGACATGTTCTGCAGCAGTAGGACTAACAGCAGAAACATCACTAGACCATCACATTCCTCTCGTGCTAGATGTACAATTAAAGGGGAATTACACTCAAAAATCTAAATGTGTTCTTTTTTTCAGACTTAAAAAATTATATTCTGATGTGGTTTAAACATTGACATGGACTCGTAAAATCCATATTCGTTGTTTCTCTATTAATAATTGTAATAATTGTAATATCGAGCGTAAGAAACTGGAAAAAATCCAAACAAAAAAAAGAAACAAATTGAAAACAGAGTTCTGGAAAATACAAAAGATGATTGTATGGGGCCTGTCATACCAAATACTGTTTATTAACCATTATATGAACAGGGATATTGACAGAAAACATCTCTTGTACACCAAGGACCCGGGGAAGAGTTGCAGGGTAGAGGAGAAGAAGGCACCTATTTGAAAGCAAAAAAAAAACGTGTAGCTCTCAATATGTTACATTTTTTAAAAGTAGCTCTCATGCTAGAAAAGGTTGGAGACCCCTGGGTTAGAGTATCAACCTGATAATGTTAATTGATTGATTGATTGACAACACAGGGGATAACACATTAAAGTGATTCTACTTGTTTCCAACGTGTTCCCTGAAGGAATACACACAAGACAGACAAAACAAAACAACAGTAATCCCTTGCATCACACAGCATAAAATAACAAAATAATTAAAAAGAACAATATACAGGAAAATGAACTCTATATACATCATAAATCAATATTTGGGCCAGTAACCGAAAGGTCGCTGGTTCGATTCCCCGAGCCGACTAGGTGAAAATCTGTCAATGTGACCTTGAGCAAGGCACTTAACCCTGATTGCTCCTGTAAGTCGCTCTGGATAAGACTAAAATGTAAATGTACATCTATATCATTATCAATAAATCTGTATAATAGATAACTTGGCCTCGGGGCCAAACCTCTGCCTTCACATTTCAGATTAAGATTACTTTAATGGTCATTTGAACAACCGAAATGTGTCTTCCGTTTTGAACCCAAACCCTCCAAAATAGACACATACAGATGTCGGATCTTAACTTGATCACCCTGCTGAGAATTTTCCTGATGCATCAGGAAATTCAAATGAGCCTCTTGAGTGGCTGAAAATGAGCAGTTCTCTTTCTCTCCATGCAGTGGCAGTAGAGTCACTGGGATCAGAGCTTGCTATCAAAATTATGTTCTCTCTCTCTCTCGTTCGCTCAAACGCTAGGCCTAGGTCCTATTGCTGCAACATTCAAGTGTACAAAAATGTATCTGAAATTCAGCCATACACATCAACAACCAACGTTTTATATAACTTAATGACACAAGATATATATTGGTCTCCACTAGGCTACGACATACAAGTGTCTAGTGTATCCTAAGGTTATGAATGAACTCGTGGCCTGGGGTGGTCTAGCGGTTAGGGCCGCTGCCTTCAGAGCGCACATGTAGGCCTACCATGTAGATAGAACGTGTGGTTACCTAGGTTACTCCATTAGCTCACAGCACAAACTTGACATTTGTCAAACGCTATTTTCTTGTCTGCTTGTTTTAGTCAATTACAAAACTACATTCAAGAAAAGTACAACATGTCTAAAGATTACTTTTCAACATTGCCTGCTCCTGAGTGTTCTCACTTCTTAGAAAAACATAATAATGTAGGGCTTCCCTCATGCCTCTTTTCATGACGGTGCTAGCAGCCACATTACCAACAACACAAACAAACAGTCTATACATCTACAAGTAGTGAGTGGAGTTACTAAACTATCCACCTCATTTTCGAACGCTTTCAAAACACTGAAGCCAAACGGGGAAACTATGGCTACAGCTTCCTCCATGCTCGTGCATTATTACAACTAATATGCGCGCCACTAGAAGTCCCTGCATTAGTTTCTGTTAGCCGATACATTCTGAAAATAGTGGGCTACCCATGATTTCGTTAGGCCTATGTGATAAACTTTTTTTTTAAATTTCGCTGTGTAAATTGACTGGATATATTCACTGCAGTATTAAGCCAAACATTGAGCTTATGAATTATGGGCTAATATGCATACGCTTCTAGTTTAGGCTATAGGCTACATCCCGAGCCTGTCGGTCTCTGTTCTGTTGCGCAATTACGCACCTGGCATCTCCGCTGCCTTGGCTATTCCTCTTACCACTATTCTTGCAGAGAATTTAAAACAGACGGCTAAATCGTCTGCTAATAAAGGACTAGTAAAGGCCCAGTGCTACTTTTATTTGTATTTATTTTTTTATTTTATTAATACAATTCATTTGTTTTGGGTTTTTTTTTAGGGGGTGCTGCAGCACCCTCAGCACCCCTACTTCCCGCGGCTATTGCACTCCAGGAACAGTGTTGCCTACCCCGGGCTATAGGCTATGCAAGCCTCTCCGCAATATGCCATTCCGCTTCTCTTAAAGTCCAACGAAAAGCTATACTAGGCCTAATAGCCCATTCAGCACTGAGCCCGTTCTACAGGGCCTCTGCTTTTTGCAGCCCCTAGATGTAGAAGAAGCGAGTGTTTCAATACTAATCGTAAGAATGGAACACCCTGGATAAAAACGTGCTTTTAAGTCTTATTTGATAGTGAGGGACACATTCAACCCGACAATTGGTAAATTGTGTTCCTAGAGATTATGGAAATGCCTTTGTTGATGTAAAAAAATGTTTGGGTGAATCCGACTAGTTTACAGTTGGTTAATCAAGGAGTCCAGGCTAGGGATCTTTTCACAAATAGCCATCTGTAACATTAAAAGTAAAAATTGTTAATGTAAATGGTAATTTAAATGGCTAGTTGCGGGACGAAGCTACAAGTTTACCTGTCATGTCCACAACAATGGAGCAGCAGACCAAGCAATATGCGAGAGAAGGACCCTATACCGTAAGATAATTATTCTGGTCAGTGTCAACTTCATTTATTCATTTATTTTGATTCTGCTACTTGTTATTCGTGTTAGATATTTCCATTTTGGGATAGTCGTTCACTGAATTGCTAGCACTAGTTGCTCATGCTGCTACAGTGGCTACAAACGTCTCGCGCTCGGTGGAATGTGAATGCATTATCACATGATACTGCCTTAGAATCCCTTCCCAAATGGCAGTAACCTACTGGAAAACCTACTAAGGCGTGGGCGTGAACTCGTGATGCCCGGACCCAAAGCATGCTGCTCAGACGACTACGCTACGGCAGTTGACAATGCAAGTCATGAGAATACTTGATGGTATGAGGTCGGTTGGTTTGCAGAGCCTTCCCCAAACCATAGCCCTAGGTACGGTACTGCATTGTATAGTCCACAAACACTGCTTCAAATCCTCCTGCGACAAAATTGATCATATCAAGATCTGAATGTACACGTATATATTTTTGGAGAGGTGCAGGGGGCTGCCACTCTGGGCACCGGGGGAGTTGTTGCTGTGGGGGATTAAGTGCCTTGCATAAGGGAATCTAGGATTTGATACCAGTAACCCAGTTGCTAGCTCACTTCCCACCAGATATTGCACTGGAGCTCCCCCTTAACGTCGGACTCGGGATTCAAACTGGCAACCCTCCAGTTGCTGGCTCACCTCTAACAACTAGGCTACCTGCCGCCCATGATGAAGCAGAGGCATAAATGCCTGTCAGTGATACAGGTTGACCTGACAAGGTGTTGAGGATGTTTAGGTTCAGCTCAGAGATGGCATCACGGGGTGGATGGCACCGCAGGCAGCTTCCTCTAGTCTAAAGCTTAACGTAACACCAATATAGACTATACATGGCACATAGACAATACATATATGGTGTAGGTTTACATGTCTCCAGTAAGAAGAAATAGTGTAGTCATGTACTATAATAAGTTAGATACATTATTCATGATTCATTATAGACCATAGTGCTTTCAAAGATGAGGAGAATAAGTGAATAATTCACACCTGGGAGCAGCGCTTAGAGAAAAAGTTATAACGTAATTTAATTTCCACCCCTTCACAGACTAAGGTGTACCAATCATAGTATCATTGACACACATCATCATCCAGTCTCACTTCCCTTCCAGGTACCCTTTGTGAGGAGGTAGTGGACGAGTGCGACCCCAGCCCTTGTGAGAACGGGGCTACGTGTGAGAGCCTTGTAGGGGGCTTTGTGTGCCACTGCTCCCAGCAGAGCCTAGACAAGTTCCTGTATGGGGGCCAGAACTGCAGCGAAGCCTTGGTTGGCTGCGAGGGCCATGAGTGTCAGAACCAGGGCTCCTGCTCTCCATTCCTGAGTGATGGGCATCATGGCTACTCCTGCCACTGCCCCCCGGGCAACACCGGGCCTCTCTGCCAGACCCCCACAGCATTCTCCTTCGAGCAGAGTGGCTACCTGTTGCTGCAGAGCCCCATGATTGCAACAGAGGCTTCCTGCAACATCACCCTGAGCTTCCGGACAGTGCTGCCCAGGGCTGTGCTCTTCCAGCGGGGCAGTGGAAGGCAGGTCCTGGGTCTGGAGCTGTTGGGGAGCCATCTGAGACTCAGCCTGAGGAGGGAGGCCTCAGGTGGGGCAGAGGGAGAGGCCCTGCAGCTTAGCCAGACACTGGAGCTCCCCATTAACGTGACTGATGGGGAATGGCACTCTGTGGAGGCCGTGCTGGGGGACGGCCTACTCAGCCTCAGGCTCCTGGATGATGGGGTCTGTCAGGAACAGGACTGTGAGAGGGAAGCCCAGGTCGCAGGCACTCTGACTGGGACGGACTCTCCAGAGTCTCCCCTCCAGAACACCTTCATCGGCGGGGTGGTGGAGGCAGGTGTGGTTCTGGATCCGGTCCCGGCCTTTATCGGCTGTCTGCGGGAATTGTTTGTGGACTCCCAGCTGGTGGTTCCGGAGGAGTGGCTGAGCGACTCGGCGGTGAACGTGACTGTAGGCTGCAGCCACAGGGACAGATGTCAAGACAGCCCCTGTCAGAACAGAGGACAGTGCACCAACCTGTGGCAGAGCTACCAGTGCTGGTGCCCCCGGCCATATGAAGGCCAGGACTGCGCTGAGGGTAAGAATGGAGGAATGAGTGGACAGAATGGATGGGGGTGCTTAGTATAAGGTATAGTCTCTGGGAGTCGCCGAGATAACCTCTAATTTCAAGGGTACATTTTTGTCCATTACATGCATACAGTGCCTTACAAAAGTATTCATCCCCTTGCCGTTTTTCCCATTTGTTGCATTACAACCTGTAATTTAAATAGATTTTTATTTGGATTTCATGTAATGGACATACACAAAATAGTCCAAATTGGTGAAGTGAAATGAAAAGAAAAACTTGTTTCAAAAAATTATAAAAAATATATAATGCAAAAGTGGTGTGTGCATATGTATTCACCCCCTTTGCTATGAAGCCCCTAAATAAGATCTGATGCAACCAATTACCTTCAGAAGTCACATAATTAGTTAAATAAAGTCCACCTGTGTGCAATCTAAGTGTACATGATCACAGTATATATAGACCTGTTCTGAAAGGCCCCAGTCTGCAACACCATTAAGCAAGGGGCACCACCAAGCAAGCAGCACCATGAAGACCAAGGAGCTCTCCAAACAGGTCAGGGACAAAGTTGTGGAGAAGTACAGATCAGGTTTGGGTTATAAACAAATATCAGAAACTTTGAACATCCCACGGAGCACCATTTAAGTCCTTTATTAAAAAATTGAAAGAATATGGCACCACAACAAACCTGCCAAAACTCCCAGACCAGGCAAGGAGGGCATTAATCAGAGAGGCAACAAAGAGACCAAATATAACCCTGAAGGATCTGCAAAGCTCCACAGCGGAGATTGGAGTATCTGTCCACTTTAAGCCGCACACTCCACAGAGCTGGGCTTTACAGAAGAGTGGCCAGAAAAAAGCCATTGCTTAAAGAAAAAAATAAGCAAACACGTTTGGTGTTCACCAAAAGGCATGTGGGAGACTCCCCAAACATATGGAAGAAGGTACACTGGTCAGAGTCATGAGACAAAAATTGAGCTTTTTGGCCATCAAGGAAAACGCAATGTTTGGCGCAAACCCAACACCTCTCATCACCCCGAGAACACCATCCCCACAGTGAAGCATGGTGGTGGCAGCAACATGCTGTGGGGATGTTTTTCATTGGCAGGGACTGGGAAACTGGTCAGAATTTAAGGAATGATGGATGGCGCTAAATACAGGGAAATTATTGAGGGAAACCTGTTTCAGTCTTCCAGAGATTTGAGTCTGGAACGGAGGTTCACATTACAGCAGGACAATGACCCTACGCATACTGCTAAAGCAACACTTGAGTGGTTTAAGGGGAAACATTTAAATGTCTTGGAATTACCTAGTCAAACCCCAGACCTCAATCCAATTGAGAATCTGTGGTATGACTTAAAGATTGCTGTACACCATCGGAACCCATCCAACTTGAAGGAGCTGGAGCAGTTTTGCCTTGAAGAATGGGCAAAAATCCCAGTGGCTAAATGTGCCAAGCTGATAGAGACATACCCCAAGAGACTTTCAGCTGTAATTACTGCAAAAGGTGGCTCTACAAAGTATTGACTTTGGGGGGTTGAATAGTTATGGACGATCAAGTTTTCCGTTTTTTTGTCTTATTTCTTGCTTGTTTCACCCCAAAAAATATTTTGCATCTTCAAAGTGGTAGGCATGTTGTGTAAATCAAATGATACAAACCCCCCAAAAATCCATTTTAATTCTAGGTTGTAAGGCAACAAAATAGGAAAAATGCCAAGGGGGGTGAATATTTTCGCAAGCCACTGTAGCTACATACCGGCATGCTCAAATGTTTTGAGTAGAACAGCCTTTAATATTGCAGATAGATACTGCTTCCATCAATGTAATTGTCTGCATAATTTCCAATCCCCCATATACATTTTAATATATACATATATATATATATATATATACAGTGCATTCGGAAAGTATTCAGACCCCTTGACTTTTTCCACATTTTGTTACATTACAGCCTTATTCTAAAATTGATTAAATAGTTTTTTTTCCCTCATCAATCTACACAAAATACCCCATAATGACAAAGCAAAAACAGGTTTTTGTAAATTTCTTCAATATAAAAAAACGGAAATATTACATTAACAGAATTATTCAGACCTTTTACTCAGTACTTTGTTGAAGCACCTTTGGCAGCGATTACAGCCTCAAGTCTTCTTGGGTATGACGCTACAAGCTTGGCACACCTGTATTTGGGGAGTTTCTCCCATTCTTCTCTGCTCTGTCAGGTTGGATGGGGAGTGTCGCTGCACAGCTATTTTCAGGTCTTCCCAGAGATGTTCGATCGGGTTCAAGTCCGGGCTCTGGCTGGGCCACTCAAGGATATTCAGAGACTTGTCCCGAAACCAATCCTGCATTGTCTTGGCTGTGTGCTTAGAGTCGTTGCCTGTAGGAAGGTGAACCTTCTCCCCAGTCTGAGTTCCTGAGCGCTCTGGAGCAGGTTTTCATCAAGGATCTCTCTATACTTTGCTCCGTTCATCTTTCCCTCGATCCTGACTAGTCTCCCCGTCCCTGCCACTGAAAAACATCCCCACAGCATGATGCTGCCACCACCATGCTTCACCGTAGGGATGGTTTAAGGTTTCCTCCAGACGTGACTCTTGGCATTCAGGCCAAAGAGTTCAATCTTGGATTCATCAGACCAGAGAATCTTGCTCCTCATGGTCTGAGAGTCCTTTAGGTGCCTTTTGGCAAACTCCAAGCGGGCTGTCATGTACCTTTTACTGAGGAGTGGTTTCCTTCTGGCCACTCTACCATAAAGGCCTGATTGGTGGAGTGCTGCAGAGATGGTTGACGTTCTCCACAGAGGAACTCTGGAGCTCTGTCAGGGTGACCATGGGTTCTTCATCTCTTCCCTGACCAAGGCCCTTCTCCCCCGATTGCTCAGTTTGGCCGGGTGGCCAGCTCTAGGAAGAGTCTTGGTGGTTCCAAACTTCTTCCATTTAAGAATGAAGGAGGCCAATGTGTTCTTAGGGACTTTCAAAGCTGGATATGTTTTTTTGGTACCCTTCCCCAGATCTGTGCATCGACACAATCCTGTCTTGGAGCTCTACGGACAATTCCTTTGACCACATGGTTTGGTTTTTGCTCTGACATGCACTGTCAACTGTGGGACCTTATATAGACAGGTGTGTGCCTTTCCAAATCATGTTCAATCAATTGAATTTACCACAGGTGGACTCAAGTTGTAGAAATGATGATCAATGGAAACAGGATGCACCAGAGCTCAATTTCAAGTCTCATAGCAAAGGGTCTGAATACTTATGTAAATAAGGTATTTGTAAAAACCTGTTTTCGCTTTGTCATTATGAAGATTGTAGATTGATGAGGAATTGTTTTAATTGAATCCATTTTAGAATAAGGCTGTAACGTAACAAAATGTGGAAAAGGGAAGGAGTCTGAATACTTTCCGAATGCACTGTATAACATATATGTTTTTTAAAATCTATTTTCCTTTATTATTTTCTACTAACTCTACCATCCCTCCTTTAATGGGAATAAACTAATGGATAACAACACTTAGGCTTCTACTTCCAGCTTATACATACTATATACATTTTAAGGACACAATCTATTTTACAATAGTTATCTTTTGTTTGTTTTTAGTCCTATCCTTCAGCTACCCTCAACCCCTCCCATCTATCTCTGAAGACCATCCAGTTTTGATTTCTATTTGCCATATATTTTTGCAACTGTGCTGTTTCACAAAAGTTCTGAACCTATGTACATTTTACGGACACAGTATATTTTACATGAGTTATCTTGCTATTTTTGGTCCCACCCTTCAGCTCCACTCAACCCCTCCCATCGCTTGCTGAACACCACCCAGTTTTGATTTCTATTTACCATATATTTCTCAACTGTGCTGTGATGTTTCACAAAAGATCTGAACCTTTCTATTCTGATAGTTTCTACAGATTTGTCACGATCGTTTACTGATGATACGGACCAAGGCGCAGCGTGATAAGCGTACATTTTATTAAGTACTAAACTCACGACAAAACAACAAACAAACGAAACGTGAAGTCCTAGGTTACACAAAACAAACCTTAACGGAACAAGATCCCACACCGACTAGTGCCAAACAGGCTGCCTAAGTATGGTCCCCAATCAGAGACAACGAGCTACAGCTGCCTCTGATTGGGAACCACCCTGGCCAACATAGATCTACACGATCTAGAAAACACAACATAGAAAACATGACATAGAAACTCCACACCCTGGCTCAACATTTAAGAGTCCCCAGAGCCAGGGCGTGACAAGATTGTAAATTAAATATGAACATTTTTGGTAAGAGTATTATCATATTAGTGATTGATTGACTATGACTTTTTAAATCACCAAGCAGTGCTATTTGCAGAGTTAGCTCCTGGTAAATGTTGCAACTCTTCAGCCATTCCTGAACCTGTGACCAAAAACAAGCTACATAAGGATAGTACTAAAACAAATTATCTGATGATGAATGATTCTCTCTTCACAGCAAAATCTGCAGCGCATATATATATATATAATAATATATACGTAAATTATAAACAAAATATTGCAACCAATAGAATGATATATATATATATATATATATATATATATATATCATTCTATTGGTTGCAATATTTTGTTTATAATTTACGTTTTGAATCCAGCTTCATTTATAAACCATGTGCCATGGAATTGGTACATCAAAAATCTCTTCCCAACTATTTTGCAATCTATATGGCACAGCTGTCCATTTTTTTGTCTTTAAATTTAACTGGTATAACTTTTTTTATTTATTAAAATTTTCTTTAACCAATTGTGTTCTTTAATGCAGGGCCGACAGACAAGTTCCTTACTTTCTCCCCCTTCCACTTGCCTCTATCATTTTTGCTGCAATTAGTTGGTTGTCATTTTGAGTAGAGCAGACATTTCCATATATTTTGTGTGACATTACTCCACCAGTCCTATTTATGATATAATTTACAAAGATTATATATATATATATATATATATATATATATATATATATATATATATATATATATATATATATTTAAAAAATATATATATATATATATTTTCATTTTTATTTATTCATAATATTTGTTCTAATATTTGTTCTGTATTTTCTGGTGGATTAAACTGAAATTGCAACCAACTTTCTATGGCTTGTTTTAAAAATAGCGATATTTTGGAGATTATTTCATTTTCAAATAACCGAAAGTGAGCGGTTGTAATCTGAATAAAGGGAAAAGGCCATTCTTGAACATGGGGTGAGACATTCTTACTAATCTGCTAGAGAACCAGTTTTAAGTATACCTTTTGTATGACTGAAGCCTTTAGTGAGAGGTCAAATGCTTTAATATTTGATTGTTTTTTGTCATTTCTGCCCTCCGAATTCATATTCATTATATAAAGTAGAACATCCTTAGTAGGCCTACATAACAGAGAGAGCGTAGAGCAGATCAGTCAGAAGTTACGGTGAGAGATCAGCTCCCTGAATGGATTAAAGGGGAGGGAGAAAATCTGTGTTGGAAACAATGAGGTACTGCAATGCCTTACAAGGATGCAGCAGCGCTTACGACTCTTGCACAATACAAACCAAAATGGATTTGCAACCATAGTCACACAAATGTCAGTACAGGGTACAGACCCTGGTAAGTCATTTTGGTTCTTTCTTTTCAGAGAAGGATATTAATAGCCAGTTGCCATGAAAGCAGATTAGTAATCTGGCAATACCTAAGAAAAGACACGCAGAAACACAAAAGCTACACACACATGCTGAGATCTAGAGTTGAACTACTGCTATCCTAGATGGTATGGATAAATCAAGCCCTTTGCTCTCAAATGCATGCAGATCACCAATGTGTGTGTGTGTGTGTGTGTGTGTCTTTCTCAGGTTGGCTGAAAGTAGATTCACAAGGCCGTGGGGCAATTAACACAGTATTACTCCCCCCCCCCCCCCCCCCCCCCCCCCCCTTGCTGTATTAGGTACAGCACCTGTAGCCTGCTATCTGCTATTGGAACGGGAAGAAGGTGACAATGAGAGATTACATTTGTTCTGTGTCTATGCACCTGTGGGTATGTGTGTCATATATGGGAAAATGCAGACAGTGCAGGCTGTGAGTGCTATCTTAGACAGATCAGAGTGTGTCCTAGATGAATGTCGTCTGGGCTGCATCTGTAACATGGGAACATATGGGCTACTGGCTGCTTACCACACACAATATAACATAGCCTTCTTGGACAGTGAGCACTAGAGAAAGTCATACCACTAGAAGTTGTATTTTGTATTTTTCTCACTCAAAACAAATGCATAATTTGTACTATTTGGGAACCACTAGTTGAAACCCTGAATATGTTATAATAAAACAATCACCCTCATCTTCTGTCCTCTCCCTCCCTGTCTCTCTCTGTAGAGTATGTGACGGCCCGCTTCGGCAATGAGGACTCTCAGAGCTACGCCGTCTTCACCACCACAGATGACGCAGGAAGTGACATCACTGTCTCCCTCTTCCTGCGCACACGCCGCCACGCTGGCCTTTTGTTGGTGCTCGCCAATAGCACCAGCCAATACCTGCGCCTGTGGCTGGACGAGGGGAGGGTCAGAGTTCAGCTCCATAACTTTGAGACCTTGACCAGTGAGAGTGTGGTTAACGACGGGGACATCCACTTTGTGAGCGTGGTGGTGGACCGTGAGCATATGGTCCTGTACGTGGCCAACCAGAAGCAGGGCTCAGTGGAGGTCAGGACGGTGGACAGTCAGATGGGGGATGTGGTGTATGTGGGGGGTCTGGCAGAGCAGAAGTTGTCATCAGCCTTTGGGGGCTACTTTAAAGGCTGTATCCAGGACCTGAGGATCAACAGTAAGAGACTGCAGTTCTTCAGGCTGGACACCACAGTGACGTCATATCCTCTGGTGCTCATGGCTAACATCACAGCGGGCTGCGCTGGGGTCGACTCCTGTAGTGTGAGTGGACTGAGCAATCCTTACTACTCTCTCCACCTGCCTCTTCTACCCCTACTCTGTCCCCTTCTTTCACCTGCCCTACCCTGTCCTTTGCCCATGCCATACCTAGTCCTGCCTTTCCCTGCTCTGCACACAGCCATGCCTTGTCCCTGCCCTACCAATTCTGCCCCAGTCCTGGCTGTAATGTAACATAATGTGGAAAAAGACAAGGGGTCTGAAAACTTTCTGAATGCACTGTATTACATAATTTATGCAGTAGCATACAATTCATTTTTAGACCCAACTTGTTGTGCTGTGCTCACTTGAACAGGAAGGTGGCGCGGTGGTCCTTCGTGGGCAAATTCTGTCATCAAACTTTGTCATCAAAGTCTGGCATTCTCTGGATTTATGGTGCTTTCAAGACAACTGGGAACTGACGTCAGTGATTTTCAGGTTGGAGCTCTAGAAAAAGGCTTGAGTTTCCGACTTGGAATTCCGAGTTGGATGACCGTTCAAAACGTATTTTCCCAGTCGGAGCTCATTTTTGTCAGAGTTCCCAGTTGTCTTGAACTCACTGAAGTCTGAGATTTCCCAGTTCCGTGTTTCCAGTTGTTTTGAATACGGCAGAAGTCATGCTGGATTGACAGCATGGCCAATGTATTCAACCTTTTCTGGTCCATCGTGTTGAATTCTTATCCTTTTAAGCTTGGAAAAGAGACCCTTAAACCCAGACTTGGATCACACACCCACTCCACTGAATAGCAGGCTAGTGATTGCTTTGCAACGCTTGCAGTTAGCCACTGATTCCTTCCAAACCACTCATTGTTGAATTTGCGATTTCCAACTTGTGGTGTAATGTTTATGTCCAATGGCTGATGACTTGATTCATGATGACTGCTAGATTGCTGGCTAAGATTTTGAAAGTATGATGTTGACATGATCAGTCCAATCAAAGCTAAGGTAGATATAACGTGATTTGACATAATTTTATCTGTGGCCAATGACCTTGAGCCTTTTTGGATGGGCACTTCTATGGCAGAACCCAAGGGGCTTCAATTAGCGAGCTCTACTCGTAGATTTTGCCGTGACGTAGTGTCCCCATGAGTGACAGAACACTCAATCACAGTGCAACTAGAGAACATTACCAACCCCTACACTCCGTATTTTCCACTGGCTGCCCCACCACCACAGAAAGCACTGAGCTAGGCTGAAACACCTGCATTTTGGAGCAGCCTCACCTGCCCTGAATGACGGGTCGCCACTGTGAATGATTCATGTATGTTCACCTGCTCCCTCGTATTTGCCTTGTTAGCAGCGCATTCATTCACTGTCCAACGGGAAACTCCACCCACGACATAGGCCAAGAGGTGAAACAAACTACCTCAGCCCAGACCTACAGTGGCAAGTGGCAAAGAGACCAAGGCTGACAGTGGGATTTTTTTGTTTGTTATCCCTCGACTCCTGCCGTGTCAAAAGACATTCCCAAACAAAAAAAAACCTGACTCTCGAAGAATGAGTGTATAACAGGTAAATAGTCGCTGATATTTCAATCAGATGTCTAGCTAGCTAGGTAGCTCAAGGGCTCTGTCTGTTAACCAGGTAGCTAGCTATAACTAGCTGGCTAGAAGGATGAAGTTAGAAGCTAACATTGAACGGAGCCAGACCTCAGCAGGAGCAGATGACTGAAATGAAGCTAGCTATAATCGAAAGATGGGCTACTATAAGTTCTCATAACAAAATAGCTTTTCTTTACAGACAGTGGTGAGACAGAAGGTGGTGAGTCAGGCTGCAAAGGAGATACCCAGAGAGAGGAAGCATTGAAGAAAGCAGGGAGAGAGGTTAGTAGTACAGTGGTTCCCAAACTTGTGGTTGGGGACCCATGTGGGGTCCCCTAAAATTTAAATAGGGTCCCTTGAGAGAATCTTTGATCTTATCAAACACATTAATTACTTGTTTCTCTTCAAATGGGTTTAGAATACAACATTTTAGAGTCAACTAAGGACCTTTTACACTGTTAGAATTCACTTTCATGTCATTATGTGTTGGGACAGCCTGTGTGACCAAAACATAAGTGAAATAAAGACAATTGAAATGTAAAGACAATTTAATATTATTAGCATGTACACTGAACAAAAATATAAATGCAACATGCAACAATTTCAAAGATTTTACTGAGTTACAGTTCATATAAGGAAATAAGTCAACATCATCAGTACTGACTTACCACTCCTGTATGTAGTAAATAAGTAGTGAAACCCGTATTATTGAGTTGAACTTGTGGGCAGTGAAGAATAGTACGTAATTCTTTATTGTTTTATGAGGTTGTGGTGATATACTGACATCTGGTGGCGACTAGAAACAATTGCATAATAGGAACTATTACAAATTGATGGTCCTTGAAAATAAATATTAGTGCTTGAAATTCCTTGAATTTGACTTGCCACTGTCTGGATGAACCCTGATCTCACTCTCTAACACTCTCCATCTCCATCCCAAATCCCTATGTATGATGCTATGAATCATGTATTCTGAACAAAAATATAAATGCAACATGTAAAGTGTTGGTCCTATGTTTCATATAATAGTAAAAGATCCCGAAAATGTCCATACTCACAAAAAGCTTATTTCTCTCAAATGTTGTGCACAAATTTGTTTACATCCCTGTTAGTGAGCATTTCTCCTTTGACAAGATAATCTATCCACCTAACCGGTGTGGCATATCAAGAAGCTTATCATTACACAGGTGCACCTTGTGCTGGGGACAATAAAAGGCCACTCTAAATTTTGCAGTTTTGTCACACAACACAATGCTACAGATGTCTTAAGTTTTGAGGGAACGTGCAATTGGCATGCTGACTGCAGGAATGTCCACCAGAGTTGTTGCCAGATAATTTAATGTTAATTTCTCTACCATAAGCTGCCTCCAATGTCGTTTTAGAGAATTTGACAGTACGTCCAACCGCCTCACAACCGCAGACCACAGTAACCACGCCAGCCCAGGACCACCACATCCGGCTTCTTCACCTGCGGGATCGTCTGAGACCAGCCACCCGGACAGCTGATGAAACTGAGGAGTATTTCTGTCTGTAATAACGCCCTTTTGTGGGGAAAAACTAATTCTGATTGGCTGGGCATGGCTCTCCAGTGGGTGTGCCTGGCTCCCAAGTGGGTGAGCCCCTGCCCAGTCATGTGAAATCCATAGATTAGGGCCTAATGAATTTATTTCAATTGACTGATTTCCTTTTTATGAACTGTAACTCAGTAAAATCATTGAAATTGTTGCATGTTGTGTTTATATTTTTGCTCAGTATATAATGAGACACCAGAGATTTCATGCCTTCTCAATGGTAAGTAGTCCAGGTTTGGCCGGGGTAGGCCGGCATTGCAAATAATAATTTGTTCTTACCTAACTTGCCTAGTTAAATAAAGGTTCAATACAAATTAATAAAGAAAATAAGTAAACTATTAGGTATATTTCCACAGCTGACATTGTACTCTCTTACATACACAGTCAGTCAGACATGAGCATTTATGAATGATAAAAGATAACCTGAATGTTCCTCTATCCTTTAGTAGTAGTAATAATAATAAAATTAATAAACTGTATTTGTTTTCTCTCCCTCTCCAGAGGAACCCGTGTCAGAACGGGGGCATGTGCTACCCCATGTGGGACGAATTCGCCTGCACCTGCCCCCCCAACACTGCAGGGCGGCGCTGTGAGGAAGTAAAGTGGTGTGAGCTAGCCCCCTGCCCCGCACAGGCGGAGTGCCGCACCCTCAACCAGGGATACGAGTGTGAGTCATTCTGCCCTAAATCTGACAATATGTGTGTTGCCAGTCAGACCGCCGTCGGTCTGTGACGTAGGACTGGGATTAGGCCAGATTAGCCTGTGGTTGGATCAGTGATGATTTACATGGCCGTCTGTCTGCCCTGTCACCCCTGTGATTAGTTGTCCTGGAATGAGGACAGAAACAACACTGTCACTCACAAAGCAGAGGATACAGTGTTGTTGTGTCTGCCCAGCACACATTCGTTCATCATACAGCCTTTTGTGGTTGATTTTCTATTATTTGTTAATGTATATTTTTTTATTGCTTTACATTTTACATTTTAGTCATTTAGCAGACGCTCTTATCCAGAGCGACTTACAGTTAGTGAGTGCATACATTTTCATACTGGCCCCCCATGGGAATCGAACCCACAACTCTGGCGTTGCAAACGCCATGCTCTACCAACTGAGCTACTTTTATTCCATGGTCCATATTCCATCACATTTTGGATTGATCCTGAGGGTTAAAGCCTTTATTAAATTACCACATATTTACATACCTATCCCTTATTTTCCTTCCCAGGCTTTTCCAACGCTACCTTCCTTGACGACAGCAGTGTGCTGTCTTACCGCGGTAACGGCCGTATCCAACGTAGCCTGGCCAGCATCTCCCTCAGCCTGCGCACCCGCGTACGCCACGTCGCCATCCTGCATGCCGAGCGTGGGCCGGAATTCTTGACAGTGTCTGTGCAGGACGGCCTTCTCTTCCTGGAACTCCAGAGCGGGGAGGGGGAGGGGGAGGGCATGTCCACTGTGTCCCTGAGCAGCCGGATTGGGGTCAGTGACGGGGATTGGCACAGCGTCCACCTCTTCATGGTCACCCCCTGGGCAGAAGCGTCCCGCTGGACCTTAGTGCTGGATGACGAGGTGGAGGAAGATGGGACCTCCAGCAGCGAAGGGGGCAACCTGGACTTCCTCAGGGAAGGGGTGGACATCCAGCTAGGGGGGCTGGGGCCCAAGGCTGGCTGGAGCCTAGGGGGGTGCCTGGGTACTGTGGAGGTGGGGGGCATCGCCCTGCCTTACTACAGCCCATCAGAGGTCAACCTGCCCCGGACTCAGGAGGAGCAGTTCCTTCGGACGTCCCCCAACCCACCCCAAAGAGGGTGCAGTGGAGGCCCGGTGTGCCAGCCCAGCCCTTGCGTGAACGGAGGCAGCTGTCAGGACCTCTGGAACCTGTTCAACTGTAGCTGTGAGGAGGGCTGGACCGGACGCCGCTGTGAGCGCAATACAGACACCTGCGCCTCCAACCCCTGTATCCATGGCAACTGCAGCATTCAGGGGCTGGCATATGAGTGTGCCTGTGAGTTTGGCTACACCGGGGTGGACTGTGAGGAGGAGGTGGATGTGTGTGAGAACCATCTATGCGCTAATGGAGGCACATGTCTACATGGAGTGGACATGTACGCCTGTCTGTGTGCTGAGAACTATACCGGACCTAACTGCAAGTGAGTTACATGGGTAGGGTTAGGAATGGAATGGAATATAATATAATATTTATTTTTATACAAAGGAATGAACACAAAACTAAACAGTCACCTCATCTTGAAACATTTTCACCAAATTGCTGCAGCTTTTATGTACCTTTCATCTGTAAAGTTTGTATTCCAAAGTTGCAGTCCCTTTGAGTTTAAACACAATTTGCTAAATATTAAGTATAATAACCAACAGTTGAAACAATAACATCATAAAACAATATTTTATGTTTTGAAAACATGGATTCATCTTCAATGAGATAAAAGCATAATCAAAGGATCTCAATGCAAATTCACCAAAGCAATAGTACACCAGCAGGACTCCCTTTAAGCATTACAACTCAGCAAGGAAAAAGGAAACCATGTCAATGTTCAGATCTCCGTCAAGCACTTAAACCATGCATGAACTGTGTGTTTTAGATGTAGCATTTCTGTTCTACTTAACGTCATGTATGGCTTTAGTGTGTCGCTGTAGTCTGTGTAGTAACATTGCTGTAGTATGTCACTGTAGTGTACTGTGTGTAGTGTATTTATCTCCCTGGTGGTTCAGTGCTACTCCCTCTCATCTCCCGTTTGCCTCGGAGCATCATCGAGGGAATGCCTCCATCCATTTATCTTGTAAACACACACTCTCTCACATACACTACCAACACTCTCTCTTTCTTTCTCGCTCACACACATTCTCTCACATCGCTCCTTCACAGGGACGTTTTTGAAACAACCTCCCTCAGTAAGCTAGAGTTTCAGACAAGATGTCTATCTTTACTGGAAAGTTTTCATCCTAAATAAAAAAAAATGTTATATGTATTGTTCCTCCTCTCTCTCTCTCTATCTCTCTCCAGTGATCGTATTGAGGAAATTCCATGGTACATAGACAACAGAAAATCGTAAGTTTTTATTATTTGCTACTCCTCCCACCTATTTCGAGAAATGCCATAACAACCAGCCCCAGTCTTCTCCCCCTACATATCCGGATGTTGTAAGTCCATCAGAGAAGGACAGAGTCCATGATGTTTAAAAGTCCTATAGTAGTGCTTTAATGTCCTGTACTTGAGGAGCAGTCAGGGGTCTAAATTTAATCATCCTGATCGCCCCATAAATCCTGTAGTCTCCTAGTGGGGAGACAGACGGTACATCCCACTCCCCATAGTTCACAAACACATATTAGCAGACAATAAAACCCTTTACACATGTACCCAATTACCCATGCCCCCCATTAATCTAACGTCAGGTGGTGTTTCTTCTACGCACTGCCCCTCACTCAACCACGCTACCGGAAGCAAGACAATGCCCTGCCCCCTCCCATCTAAATCTCTCTCAAGCACATACACACACACACACCACACACCCCCACCCTCTAGAGGAGTGTGCCTGTCTGTTTGTGTGGTTTTCTCTCTTTAGTAGGCCCAAGCTGCCAGTGTCTGTCTGTGGAGATGAGAGCAGAAACTACATCTGCTTCAACGCAGGGAACTGCACTGAGAGAGACCTGTCTTGTGACTGTCTACCCGGCTTCACTGGACACCGGTAAGAGAAAGATAGAGAAAAGAGAAGGATACAGAGGGAAAAAGAAGGAAGGGGGTAGATTGGAGGGGAGAGATCATCTAAAAGTATACCCAGACAAATAGGTGAACTTTGTAAAACATGCATTAGACACAGACCATCTTGATGTTGTGTGTTCTCTTTTTTTTGCCTCCGTTTCTATATCTGACCCTCATCCTGTGTGTAGCTGTGAGCAGGAGGTGGATGAGTGCAAGTCCAACCCCTGCTGGAACGGGGGCTACTGCCGAAACCTCATTAACAAGTACCACTGTATGTGTGACATGAGTTTCGCCGGGGACAATTGCCAGATCGACGTAAGCGACGTTTTCTTTTACTCGGCCTTACTGTTCTGGCAGAACCTCTTCCAGCTGATCTCCTACCTCATCCTGCACCTCAATGACGATCCTGAGATCGACTGGGGAGGGCAAGACTACTGAGAGAGAGAGAGTGTGTGTACGTGTGTGTGTGTGTGTGTGTTTGTGTCTGTGTGTGTGCATGTGTTCGTGTGGGGTGTAAGCTTGAGACTTATGGTGATGGATGTTTCGGGGTTAAATGCCTGTTCAATGAAAAACAGCTATGTTCTAAATCGTGTGAGTGCCGTTATATCTGTGTGTCTGGGTATTACAGTACCACTGGGGTTAGCAGAGAGGATTCTTTGAATCCGGTGTTTAGGGGTTGAATCCAGCTGTGACAGCTGAGCACTAAGTACTTGAATTAAGAAACAATAGGGCTTGTCCTGAACTGGGCCAATGAGACAATGGAGCCCTGGACAAGACTTAATGTCTCTGAGTGTAAAAGTACAGCTTAGCTATAGGTTTTAATTGTATTTTCTATTGTTCAGGTAAGCCTAATTTAAATGTATTATCTTCCTTTTCTGACAAGAGCACAGAGCTGTTTTTTGTGCCTTAAAACAACGTGTTTTATTGGCAGCAGCTTTTGTTAAAAGTGTGATTATGGAATATGCTCTCTGTTGGATCTGAGAATATGAATATCCTTTGGGCGATGTTGCTAAACTAACACAGCTCAGGTAGCATTATATTGTACATTAGACTAAGCTATACAGAAATTATAATAACGGGTATTTTCCATGGACCTAATGGAAAATAAGACACTGGTTTTGCAATTGCACAGGATCGTCAGTGTAAATTATAAGCACAATTTCCGAAAGGAATGTTTTGTTATTGAAAAACGTTTTCATAATAAAAAATGGTATTTTCTTAGATGAATCTCGTCTCTGAAAGCAAAATGTCTCACTTACAATATATGGTCAGGCTCATGTCCATTTGATAGTGTGTATTCCTTGAGGATAATGGTACTGTACATACTGATACTGTAAGTGGTGTAGCGAGAGGGATTCCCCTAGGCCCTTGAAGGCAGCGAATCACACCTACCGTTTATCAATTTTAAACCAATCAGAATTCTGTCACACATTCTCTGTTGTTGTCTATACCTACAAATATGTATGTCTCTATGTCCATCTCTCTGTCTGTATGTCTCTATATCAACTCAGCAAAAAAAGAAATGTCCCCTTTTCAGGACCCTGTCTTTCAAAGATAATTAGTATAAATCCAAATAACTTCACAGATCTTCATTGTAAAGGGTTTAAACACTGTTTCCCATGCTTGTTCAATTAACCATAAACAATTAATGAACATGCACCTGTGGAACGGTCGTTAAGACAATAACAGCTTACAGATGGTAGGCAATTAAGGTCACAGTTATGAAAACTTAGGACATTAAAGAGGCCTTTCTACTGACCCTGAAAAACACCAAAAGAAAGATGCCCAGGGTCCCTGCTCATCTGCGTGAACATGCTTCAGGCATGCTGCAAGGAGGCATGAGGACTGCAGATGTGGACAGGGCAATAAATTGCAATGTCCATACTGTGAGACGCCTAAGACAGCGCTACAGCGAGACAGGACGGACAGCTGATCGTCCTCGCAGTGGCAGACCACGTGTAACACCTGCACAGGATCGGTACATCCGAACATCACACCTGCGGGACAGGTAAAGGATGGCAACAACAATTGCCCGAATTACACCAGGAACGCATAATCCCTCCATCAGTGCTCAGACTGTCCGCAATAGGCTGAGAGAGGCTGGACTGAGGGCTTGTAGGCCTGTTGTAAGGCAGGTCCTCACCAGACATCACCGGCAACAACGTCGCCTTTGGGCACAAACCCACTGTCACTGGACCAGACAGGACTGGCAAAAAGTGCTCTTCACTGTTGAGTCGCGGTTTTGTCTCACCAGGGGTGATGGTCGGATTCGCGTTTATCGTCGAAGGAATGAGCGTTACACCGAGGCCTGTACTCTGGAGCGGGATTGATTTGGAGGTGGAGGGTCCGTCATGGTCTGGGGCAGTGTGTCACAGCATCATCGGACTGAGCTTGTTGTCATTGCAGGCAATCCCAACGCTGTGAGTTACAGGGAAGACATCCTCCTCCCTCATGTGGTACCCTTCCTGCAGGCTCAACCTGACATGACCCTCCAGCATGACAATGCCACCAGCCATACTGCTCATTCTGTGCGTGACTTCCTGCAAGACAGGAATGTCAGTGTTCTGCCATGGCCAGTGAAGAGCCCGGATCTCAATCCCATTGAGCACGTCTGGGACCTGTTAGATCGGAGGGTGAGGGCTAGGGCCATTCCCCCCAGAAATGTCAGGGAACTTGAAGGTGCCTTGGTGGAAGAGTGGGGTAACATCTCACAGCAAGAACTGGCAAATCTGGTTCGGTCCATGAGGAGGAGATGCACTGCAGTTCTTAATGCAGCTGGTGGCCACACCAGATACTGACTGTTACTTGTTTGACCCCCCCCCCCCCCCTTTTGGACACTTTCACGCCCCCCCATGCCCACTTGTCTGGTCATCATTATTCATTATTTCTGAATCAACCTGTCTGGGGACGTTTCATTTATTCTGATTGTTGATCTTGTTTCTGTTCATCTGTCAAATATTTACAAAAGTTGTGGACAATACTGTTGACAGTGAAGAGGACAGTCCATCATTTGCTGAATTAGAATGACCTCTTCTGTACTTTCTGCATCCGTCATATGTCACCTTATCAAAAGTAGTGCTCTCGACAGTTTAACACTGAGCTGACCCCGTCATGTAATCTCTATGAAAAATTGAACAAAAAGCCTAACGTAAGAGCTCAAAACTCACAATGGACCGTCCAGTGATGCACCTTCCAAACAATGTCGTCCTCTTCAAACTTTCTACCGTCCAACTGCCCGGAGCAACAGCTACATACTGTTTTTTTAGGGAAATGGTTTTCCATGGCCGAGGAGCCGCACACAAGCCTAAGATCCTTATGCGCAATGACAAGCGTCGGTTGGAGTGGTGTAAATCTCGCCGCCATTGGACTCTGGAGCAGTGGAAACGCCTTCTCTGGAGTGATTAATCACATTTCACCATCTGTCAGTCCGACGGACGAATATGGGTTTGGCGGATGCCAGGAGAACGCTACCTTCCCCAATGCATAGTGCCAACTGTAAAGTGTACTGGAGGAGGAATAATGGTCTGGGGCTGTTTTTCATGGTTCGGGCAAGGCCCCTTAGTTCCAGTGAAGGGAAATCTTAACATTACAGCATACAACGGCATTTTAGACGATTCTGTGCTTCCAACTCTTTGGCAACAGTTTGGGGAAGGCCCTTTCCTGTTTCAGCATGACAATGCCCCTGTGAACAAAGCGAGGTCCATACAGAAATGCTTTGTCGAGATCGGTGTGGAACAACTTGACTGGCTTTCACAGAGCCCTGGCCTCAACCCCATTGAACACCGCCTGCGAGCCAGGACTAATCGCCCAACATCAGTGCCCGACCTCACTAATGCTCATGGAAGCAGTGGCTGAATGGAAGCAAGTCCCCGCAGCAATGTTCCAGTGGAAAGCCTTCCCAGAAGAGTGGAGGCTGTTATAGCAGCGAAGGGGTGACCAACTCCATATTTATGCCCATGATTTTGGAATGAGATGAGCAGGTGTCCACATACTTCTGGTCATGTAGTGTATCTCGCTCTCAATGGGTCTGTGTCCATCCTGAGGTGTTCTGTCATGTCTTACTTCTTTAAACCACTATCTGTCTTCAAATAAAAATGTCCTGTCTTTTCATTCTCATCTGTTGTTTATCCTCCTTTCACTACCTGTCTTCATTTATCCAACATAACCACCCACTCTTGGCTATTTTCGTCCAGTCAGGGAGCAGTCCTAATTGTTTCTCCATCTCAATGATCTGGGAAAATAAAGCAGTAGGTTTTGGAGAAATTTGGACGGCTATAGCTTGCCATCAGTAACGGCTCCAAACCAACCCGCTTGGCACAAACTGGTTGAATCAACATAGTTTCCATGTCATTTCAACAAAATAATTCAATGTGATGACATTGAATCAACGTGGAAAACTGATTGGATTGCAAAAAGTCATTAACGTAAGGGAATTTAGTATTTTTTCCACCCCACTTTAAACCTAAATCCAATGGCATGCTGACATTTTTTGTTGATTTCACGTTGAATACACGTTAGTTGACAACTCAATCAAATGTAAATAAACGTTGAACTGACGTCTGTGCCCAGTGGGAAGTGTCCTGTAGCTGTCACTGCTCTAGGACTGGTGACAGTGGAACGTCAACCACTGAAGCTGCCACTCTACTCACAAAACTGGCCTCAGAAATGTCACTTCAGCACTCTGCCATGACTTTACCTGGGCTTTATATAGTGCTCCTCCAGATTCAGAAGGCTCTAACCTACACTTACCAACAGTTATTCCACTGGTCATAGACTTGTGTATGTAAGTCCCGGGCAGAGATGTGCGTGTGTGTGTGTGTGTACGTACGTACGTACACTGGGCGGGTATAGACCCATGGGTGAGCTGAGTGGCACGGCTGCTAGAGAGAGATAGTGCTTGGCCAGCTAAAATCAGCCTGTGTTTCCATCTGAAGTACAAGTCAGCAGAGATTTGATGGCGTACCAGCAGGTTGGGACTGTTTCACAGAAATGCATGAGAGCAGCTTAACAGGCAGACATGCTCGTTCATCTAGAGACAGTCATACACACACGTATACTGTACACGGTTGAAGTCGGAAGTTTACATACACCTTAGCCCAATACATTTTAACTCAGTTTTTCACAATTCCTGACATTTAATCCTGGTAAAAATTCCCTGTTTTAGGTCAGTTAGGATCACCACTTTATTTTAAGAATGTGAAATGTCAGAATAATAGTAGAGAATGATTTATTTCAGGTTTTATTTCTTTCATCACATTCCCAGTGGGTCAGAAGTTTACATACACTCAATTAGTATTTGGTAGCATTGCTTTTAAATTGTTTAACTTGGGTCAAACGTTTTGGGGTAGCCTTCCACAAGCTTCCCACAATAAGTTGGGTGAATGTTGGCCCATTCCTCCTGACAGAGCTGGTGTAACTGAGTCAGGTTTGTAGGC